GCGCGCTTCCTCCCTCCTCTCCTTTCTCTCTCGTTCTCTCTCCCGCCCTCTTCCTTTCGCCCTCTCTCCCTCTGCGAGCCTCCCGCCTCCCGCCCGCCCGCCCGCCCTCCAACAGGTTAGCTCATCGCGGGACGTTTATAAAAACGAAGTTCAGGTTGGGAGGGGGCCTGGGCCGGTCGGGGGGCCTCCTCCCTCCCCGAGGGCTCCCGCTCGGGGCCGCGCCATTGGCTGCGCGGGGCCACGTGGGGGTGGGGGCGCGGGAGAGCCTGGCTCCCGGCCAGGGCCCCGCTGGACCCACCCACCCCGGCCCCTACCCCTTCCCAGCCCCTAGCGCAGCCCACCGCCCCTTCCCGCCCTGCCCCGGACCCAGGCGTTTGCGCTGCAGCCAACCCCCGCGAGCTGATTGCGCGACCGCCCATCCTAGGCCCTGTCTGCGACTGAGACGGGCGCCGAGGCCTGCGCCTTGTTCCGGCCACGGCTGTTTTTGCCACCTCTCCTCGGATCCCCGAGCTGCACAACTAAACGAAGGCGAAGGACAGAGATGGTAGGAATGATGTGAAAACAGACTGATTTTGGATCCTGTTGCTCAGTCCCTTGGATTAGCTGACCTAGACCCCAAGCCTGAGGGAGCTTCTTTTCCCTACCTTGAACACTGCTCGGGGCAAAGGCATTTCACGCGGGTTGTCATAGGGGATCTTCCGAATTAAGACCAGTTGGAGCAGACCCTCCCTACACACACACACACACACACACACACACACACACACACACACCCCGTCCACCAGGAAAATGCCCACGAAGCGCCCTTGGGGCTGGGACAGAGACTTACAAGTAAGTCAAGCAGAAGAAAAGGCTCGGCCATGGCGCGGCGAACCTGACGATCTGCCCCAGCGAGAAAACTCCTGATGCCTGGTCCACATTATTCGCCTCTACACTCAGGCCAACCGGAGTCGCCTCCCGAACTGGGCTCCCCAGCCCGGCGCAGATTCCCCTGGCTAGCAGAAAGACCCTGTGGAGGGCACCTGGAGAAAGCCACTGTGCTGCCAGCCACGAAACTTCTGCGCCTCCCCAGCAGCCCAACTGCCTCTTGCATTTTGCAGCCACCACCCACCCCCGCCCATTACTCACACCAATTAATTGAAAACTTCACTTTCCCAGGGACCTTTGTTTCGCTTTCTTTTCCAAGCTGCCAACTGACTGAGAGGGGCAAATTAAGAGGGTGGTTTTTTTCCAAGCAAAGTTGGGGCTTTAGACAGGAGCAGCCCTGAGCAACTGGGTCTGGCTTCCAGGGGATAGAGTGGGCTCTTGGTGTCAAGCATCACAGCCCTGACCAAATTCATCCCTTCGTTCCATTTCTCACCCTCGGAGCCCCAGCCCATCACCCCCCATCTTAGCCATTAGCAGGGAGCTGGTGTGTGTTCTGTGGTAAATTTAAGGCTCCTCCTTAGGAGCAACATTCCATCTGAGCAGTTGAAAGTGCTGGGGTGGGTGCAGGAGCCCTCAGAGTGAGTCTATTTGGTTCTGTAGCATCAACTACGCAGGCCAGCCCATCTCCAAGAAAATCGCTCCCCTGAGCCTGTGATTGGTGAAGCCGGCTTGTCACCCAGCCCTGCCATTCCTGAACCCAAGACGTGACTGGATGGGGCGAGTAAAAAAGCCAAGGAGGCCCTCCTGGGCCTGGCCTGACATTGCACGGTGGGCTGCTGGTGTCGGGAGTGTTGACACACAAAACCCAGTAACCATAAAAGGCTCAAATAAAGGGGAAAGTTATGAGAGGGGCACTGGAGAGGAAAAGCAGGGGAAGTTGACCTTTTTGAAGTCCTAGATGTGTTCATGATCAAATTTGAGTTGGAGGGGCTTGAGCCTTTGCAGAAAATCATAGGGAATAGAAGTTTGTTGGTGAGAACAATTTCGGCTACTTGAAAGACAGAGGCAAAGGTTAGTAACGGAAACTGAATCGGCATTTTAAAACACCACCTGGGGCCAGGTGACAGAGTTGCTTATTTTTTGGAAGAGTTTGGATGGGTCCTCTTCACCCAACAATTTCGGTACCAAACCAGTCATGGAACGCCACCCTGAAACACTTATTTTTCCTTTGTCTCCCTTGCTTTTTTCCCGTGACCTCAAAAAGCAAATTTGTTGAAGTAATTTCTAAGACATAACTGGAACCAATGAACTTTCAGTCTTTTAAAACTAAATATCCCTGTGATCCCCCACCCACCAGAGACCTCTGTGCAATATTCTATCTGATAAATACATTTTAATAGCCAATTATATGCCAAAAAATGAAGAAAATGAAATTAAGCTAGGAAGGAAGAATTTGTCAAGTTTTGCTGGTTTGAGACAGCCCTTCAATTTTGGCTTAATTTTCCATGCAGCAAATTAAGCTGTGCAGGACTGGGAGGAAAGTCTGAATTAATGCTCTAGTTGAAAGACACTTCTCAGTGATGGCCCTGCCTCCAGTTGTCCTGTGGAACTCTCACAGGACTTGGGGTTTCTCTGTCCATCCTAGCGGATGTTCAGAGACGAGGGAGGTTTTGAACAATAAGGAACATTGCCTCTTGCTATCCTGCTGCTGAACCTGCTTCCAGCACAGCCTTCGTTTGAGGTCCTGGCCCTGGGGGAGGGAATTCCCCTTAGGAAAGAGGCTCAGACTGGACCCTATGAGGGCCCTTAAACCCAGCACCCCAGGGCAGCTGCTGCTGTTGGATCATAGGGCTGTGGCTGAGTACCAGGCAAAGTCAGGGCTCCTCTGTTTATGAACTAATTAAGACACATAGTTTACAAGCCAGGGGTGGTAGGTAGTGGAGGAATTTTGAGGCCGAATTTGCGGAAACATTTCATTTAGTTTGTGTACCCTGTGTCCGAGTTGATTTTAGGTTTAAACTCAGTAGGGAAAAAAATAAAAATAAAATAAACTCAATGGGAATAATTTTCTTTAACTGGTCAGGAGCACAGACTGAACCCTGTGTATGTGTGTGGGTGTATTATGCTGAGGCTTTAACAACAGACATAATCTTTGTTAAATGAAAATCTTTTGCAACCAGGCAGAAATGTCTCCAAACACTGATGTGTTATTCAGTGAAACCAGTTTTGTCACATTTTCTGATTTGGGAGAGAAATCCCTCATTGCCCAAAGTCTTATTGAGAAGGGGTGGGCAGGGAGAGGGAGAGAGAGATCATCTCTTCTCTTTCCCATCACTTGCTCTCCTCTCTCTCCATAGGCACCCTTTCTGGGAATCAATAATGTTCTGAAAATCACATCCTCTCTTGTCCTTCTTGTAGATGATCTTTCAAATCATGTCCTTGTCCTGGGTTGGACATGGGTGGGTGGGTAGATGAAGTCTGAGATTTAGATTTATTGAAGAACATAAGTTCCCCTGCTTGCCAAAACAGCAATGAACTCGATTAACCACATAATCAGTGGCCATTACCGCCAGGCAACAATTACCAACTCCTACCAGAGTGGGGTGCTGGGAATTCCTTTGAAAGTATTTTCCTTGATGGCCACACCAGGAAGCGCAGGACACTCTCCTAATTAACTTGTAAGAAGCCAAAAATTAAGTGTAGAAATAAAGTCTTAATTCCAAAATAAAGCCTTAAATCCAGCAGGACTGGCTGGACAGTGTGGTTCTTAACCAAATCTGTGCCCTGCCAACTTTGAAGCTAATTTTCCCTCTGTAGGCAATACTCGGTTTCATTCAGGTTGGAAATATATAATAAAAAAAACACCCTAAAAACAACAAACCTAGGGTAAAGAAAGGGGTCTTTAGCAAAAGCCAGACAGTGGAATCCTCAGTTTGGGCACTTTCTATGTCTGAGATGTATTCCATTTGGATTTGACAACACAATTAGGCTTTATTAAATGTAAATCATTTGCAACAACAACAAAACTCTCTCTAAACCCAAAGTGCTATTTGGCGAACCTAGGTTTGCCTCCCACAGAGGAGCGGGCACTTGTTTGGGATGGAAAGAACTCCAATCTTGGCAGGAATTAAACACAGCAAGAGTCTTCCCTCTTAGAGAAACACTAATCTCACTTCCAAGGGATGCTGGAGGGTGGGCTCAGAGCTGGAGGACATTAGTAACTTGTTGCCCCCCCCCCCCAAATAAACAAAAGCTGGGACTGCAAACAATTTTCTGCTGTTTTGTCTGGTGTCTCAAGGTGTGGGGTTGTCCTCGGTATACACTTCTCTAGCAATGTCATTGTTAACTGAAGTCCAGTAAGTGCTCACTCTGTTGGACTTTGGAAATGAAAGAAAGTAAATGTTCCTCGTTCTCCCCACCTTCTCTCTCTCCCTCTCTGTCTCTCTCCTTTCCGTGGAGCCCTTGGTCTCTATGAAGAATCCACATGTGGACACCAGCAGGGAGAAAGGATGAAGGTTAGGGAAATGCCTAACCATGAAG